TGGGGGAGGGGCCGGGTACGCTGGGTGTAGGGGGCGGGGAAGGGTGGGGTACGCTGGGGGTAGGAAGGCGGGGAGGGGTGCGTACTCTGGGGGTTTGGGGTGGGGCACGCGGTGAGGTACGCAAGGAGTGACGGAGGCGGAGAGGTGGGGCTCGCTGCGGGAGCAGAGGCGGGCAGACGTCGGGTACACCAAGAGCTTGGGATGGGGTGCGCTGCGGGGCGGGGGGCGGGAGGCGGAGGGCGCGCCCTCGCGCGTGGGGGCCGTCAAAGAATAGGGGTGGAGCCCACAGTCGTTCGGGGAGCCCCCGAGGGGGCGGAGCCGAGCCCGGCGGAAGTTCTGCTGCGGCTGGCCCCGCCCTGCCGCTTCCGCTTCCGCTTCCGCTTCCGCCCCGGGCCGCGCCTGCGCCCTGGTCCCGGCGGTCCGCCGCGGGTCGGGCGGATCTTTTTTCTTTCCAGGCCTGTCGGGAGTGTGACCTGGCGCCGCTCGGACGTGGGGCCCTCCCCGGGCCCCGGCCGTTCGAGCCACAGGCTCTGTCCCCTCCTGGGTCCCAGGCTGGCGTCCCCACCTCCCTGGCGGCCCTCGGGACGGGGCCTGGGGCGCGCGGGCGGCCCGGGAGGAATCACACAGCAGGCGTGGGAAGGCCTGGGGTTGCTCCCCAGGTTTATTAGTGTTTTGCATCAGCACCTTAAAATAGTCCACGTGGTCACATACGTGACAGATTAGAATCTATTCCCCAAAAGGGTTATTTACATTAATCCTGTGTTTCATTTAAAAAGAAAAAAAAAAAAAAAAGAAAACAAACAAACCCTAGCAACACGTACATCCTAGAAACTAAACAATGCACGACGATGGATGGGGGTCTGCAGAAACGTAGAGGGGCACCCCTTGGCCTACAGGTTGGGACCCGGTGGTGGCAACCAAGGCCAGGCAGGTGACATGTGGGGACGCGGTCTCCCTCAGCCCATGGGGGCGGGTCTGGGGAAGGCGGTGAGGGACAAGCTCAGGTCAGGCGGCTGGCCCACAGAAGCAGGTGGCCCTGTCTCCTAAGGAGGAATCTGTCCCAGGGCAAAGGCCAGGCCCCGGAGAGTGGCCAGGTCTTCCCGTCTGGGAGTGAGCACAGTGCCAACCGGGGACCCTCCCCGAGCTGCAGCCACGACGACACTGACTCAGGATGCTGGCCCGCAAGCCCTGAGGAGATGACCCCCCGGGGCTGCTGATGTGGGAGGAGAGAGGAAGCAGTGGGCCAGGCTGGAGGGTGGTGGCTGACCCCCACCTGGCCTTGCCCGGTGGTGACTGGCGGCTGCTCCTGCCCAGGACCCACATGCCTCGCACCCCACACCGCCCTCCGTGTGCTTGCAGCTGCACTGACTCGGTCACAGATGGCTTTGGCTTCTGTGTCATCTTCCTTTGAGGGACAAAGTGCTTTCACGTGGGTCCTCAGAACAGCTCCATGAGGTAGGCAGGGCGCGTGTGACCAATAGGAAAACCGAGGCACAGGTCTCTGAGAGAGTCACGGTGGCTGGGGCTGTCCGTGTGACCTCCTGGGCCCTGGGGACGGTGTGGTGGGTGAGCCCCATAGCACTTAGGCACAGGACGGACGGCAACCGGGCTCTGTAGGCCCAGGGGCGTAGGGTGGGGGCGCTGCGTGCCCTCCCGTGTGCACGAGGACGCAGCTACGGAAGTGGATGGGGAGGCACATTTGGGGGGGATGGTCCCACGACAGGGTGGATGTGACTGCTCTCTCTGGTCCCTTACTCCAAAGCAAGCTTTGGGGCTAGAAGCTATGTCAGGAGCCTCACCTGTACCTCCTTCCTGCAGAGTTTGACCTTTGGAAAGGAACCTTAAGGAACCCAAGGCCCTGAGGCCCAGTGGTGGGAGCAAGAGCAGCGAGGCTCACGGTCCCAGGGCCTGCTTCTGAGGATGGCTGCTGGCAGACATCTGGCACAGGCACAGGCTGCCTGAGGTGCTGGGCTCAGTGGCCAGCCTCCAACCCTGGTCCTTCTGAGCCAGGGGTCAGCCTGGTCCCCAGTGCTGTCAGAGGAGGAGTCCAGGCCATCCTGGGGAAGGTCCTCTGCCCGCAGGCAACCCTGAGGCGGGGCCACACACAAGGTCAGGCCCTGTCCCGTTCCCTAGCTAGCCCAGGGACCCCTTCCTGCCTTGGGGGAGGAAGGAAGCCGGTAGGTCACAGGTGAGGAGGGTGGGCCACCTCACTCCCCCAGGGTCATACCTGCCTGTGCCATGGGCACTGTTTTCCGAGCGCAGCCTGCATGGCGCCGTGGGTGGGCTACCGCAGGGTCCCGGAGCCACCGCTGCCAAAGGGTGGGCTCTTCCTGTGGACACTGGGCTGGACTCTGGCTGCAGGTCAGGGTGTCCCTTTCCTGCTGCGTGGGAAGGCAGGGGGCAAGGCCACCACCCAGGGTGGGACCCAGACCCGGACCCCCACTCTAGGGAGCTTGGCGCAGAGAAGCCAGGGCTCCCTGCCTCTTCGGGATACTCCCAGCGGTACCTACGGCTCCAGTGGGCTCGGCACCTGTGCTCAGGCTGTGCTACCTGAGCTCTTGCCACAGAAGTGGGCGTGGGCCCAGACGCCCCGCAGCGGTAGGTGGGCCCAGGGGGCTGGGCGGGAGGAGGCAGCTGAGTGGGCTGGGGCCAACTTCGGGGCCACTGTGCTTGCCGAGTTTGGGGCAGAGGCAACCAGCAGAAGCGTAGTGACAGCTCGAGAACAGCCAGAGGGAGAGTGGCGGGGCGGGGGGGGGGGCCCCGGCGGGGGCTCTGGGGGGGGGGCTAGGACATGCGACGGCGACAGCACTGGCTGGCTCCGCCCCAGCCCCAGGGGGCCGCTGGGACGTCAGAAGAGCAATGTCCCTTTGGCAGCTACCTTGTAACGTGTATTTAAAAGCATTAAAAATATCTGCTACTAGAAAACCCCCACTGCCCGCGAGGCTGGAGTTTATTGGGAACCACAAGTGGGCGGTGCTGGGGCGTCTCCCGCCTGGTGGGCGGCTGGGCCCAGGCCTGAGCTGTCTGGCCTCCAGCCTCTGGCCACCCAGCTCCGTGTCTGGGCCCGTAGGCAGCCCGTGGATCTGCGCGCTGCCCGCCTGACCCCAGCTCCCTGAGGAAGCAGTCCTGGCTTTCAGGAAGGACAGGACGCGAAGGTGAGGACCCTTCTCGCTGGGGGGGCTCGGGAGGTCCTGAGGCCAAAACACACCTTTCGTGATTCTCAGAGCTCAGCGCTGTCCGCCTGACCTCCCACCCCGCCGGCACATCTGGTTATCGAGCAGGGCAGTTACCAGGCCCCGGTGGGGAACCTCCCCGTGAGTTTCCAGGTTGAGAGCACATTCATACTTAAGACTGTTTCTCTTTGTGTTTTTAAGTGTCTCCGTAGTAAACTGAAATGTTAACAGAAAAGCAGCTGGGCCCTCCTAGCGCGCGCCGTCCAGGGCTCCGGGGTGGGGCTAGCAGGCGGACTTGGAGTGTCCGAAGATGCAGATAGGGAAGTGCTTGACATGGGAGGACCACTGGGCCGCCAGCTGGAAGAACTTGACGTCATTCCACTCCACACCGTCGATGAGGACTGTGGGGACAGGACCACCTGACCCATCTGCCCAGCACGCCCCAGGACGGGGCTGGGGGAGCCCCCCCCCCCCCCGCCGGCTCCCAGCCACCAGTGGTGGCCAGCTTCTCCCTGACCGCGAGGACCTGCTCTTCCACAGCCCCTCCGCCCTGGCTGGGGTCTGCAAAACGGATTAAAACGCCGTGCTCTTAAAGCAGAAAAGCAACAGAGGAAGGCAGGGCAGTTCTGGACCACAGTGGTCGTCAGACTGGAGCTCCTGGAGAGAAAACCGTTCCGGGCTCCATATGCTGAATTAATTAGCTGCAGAGTATCTTCTATAAAAAGTCTGAGATACACAAATCAATCTCTTAAGAGAACAGAAAGGACTGAGAAATTACTTCTGAGAATAGAATTTAAAAAGCTCTTCTCCGCACACAAGTGCTTTATCCAAACGTGTGATACGCATTTCATGGCAAAACGAAAGCGTTTCCAGAGGTGAATTTTCAAGAACACTTCAGCCTTCCCTGGTTCACTTTCATACTTTAGACAGGACTGATGGGACCTTGGGTCAAGCACCTGACTCCCCGCGGGTTCCCCTCTGAAGGAAGGACACGTGGACAGGTGACCTCTCACGAGTCCTGAGAGCCTCCCGCCGCCCCGCCCCCTCGCCAAGCACTCACCCCTCAGCATGTTCTGCTGGTGCTTGGCCGTGCAGATCAGGCGGCTGATACCCTCGATGCACTGGCTCTTGGACTCCACATCCTTGTCCTTGGTTTTCTTGGGCAGAAACATCACTAGGAGGGAAAGGGCTGCAGGGCTCAGCCACAGCCCTCGGAACCCAGCCTCCCTGAGCCACCCACGTTCCACAGTGGCCGTGGCCGCCAGCCCTCCCCCCCCCCCCCGGAGCCACAGGCTGTGGGGGTGGGTGTGGTGACCTTGGGACCTGCAGGGCTGCCCCTCCGACTACCCCGAC